GGTGGCACTATTGTTGTTGGATGTGGTGATGGTGATAGTGATGATGGTGGCACTATTGTTGTTGGATGTGGTGATGGTGATAGTGATGATGGTGGTGCTATTGTTGTTGGTTTTGATCATGGTGGTAGTGGTGATGATGGTGCTATTGCTGTTGGATGTGATCATGGTGGTAGTGGTGATGGTGGTGCTAGTGCTGTTGGATGTGATCATGGTGGTAGTGGTAATGGTGGTGCTATTGCTGTTGGATGTGATCATGGTGGTAGTGGTGATGGTGGTGATGGTGGTGCTAGTGCTATTGGATGTGATCATGGTGGTAGTGGTGATGGTGGTGCTATTGCTGTTGGATGTGATCATGGCGGTAGTGGTGATGGTGGTGCTATTGCTGTTGGATGTGATCATGGTGGTAGTGGTAATGGTGGTGCTATTGCTGTTGGATGTGATCATGGTGGTAATGGTGATTGTGGTGCTATTGCTAGTGGTTGTGATCATGGTGGTAGTGGTAAGGCGGTCATGTTGGAGGATTATGTGGATTATACATGGATCATATCATTCCTCATATACTTTTTTAATAAAATAATATTTACAAAAGCATTTAAAGAGATATTTCTGATTTATTTTGTGGTTAGGTACAGGAATATCGAATAGAACTACAAAAATAGTACTTAGTTCCCATTTGATCTGCACATCTTGCGCAACAACAACAATGCAGCGGTGCGAATGTCTTCAATTCTCCAGCAATAGATGATCGGGTTTAGAATTCTATTTGACATCACAAGGGTCTGCGAGATTATAAACCCAAGCAGTATTCTGTAGGAATTGCGATAGACCAAACCCGACACAATCAGGGTGACGCCATAAGAAACATAGCACAAGATAAACGCACCAATCACCAGAAACATGATCGTTACGGATTTCCTGAATCTTACCATGTTGATGGGTTGTTGAGCAGACTGCAATGAGTGTTTGCGAATTACGAGAAAAAATAAGCAATACGAAGGCTGTGAAAAGATCCCAACACTCAGATCAGAGATGGAAAGACCAAGAATGAGAATATTGGAGGGAGTTTGAAGAGAAGGTGTTCTTGAAATGGTGTAAATGACCACAGCATTACTGCAGCTGGCTATTGAGGAGATCAGAGCGTTAATGGAAATGATTAAAAATAAAAATAATCATAGTGAAGATCACGAGGATTGTGAAGAAAGTACGTGCTGTAAGGTTGGAAACCATCTAACTTCTATCTTGACTACATTTACTCGCAATTCTGACTTTGGCAATGGTGTTCCCCAGAAGAGCGAAGTTTTTTAGATCTTTATCCTTTAATCATAAATAACAAATCTTTATCATTGAGGTTTGTAACCAGCCATGTTGTTGTGATGCGGTCCTTTCAAAAATGGATAGAAAGAGCAAGAACTCCTTATATGAGGCTAATTGATTATTTTTTAACTAAGAGATCGAGTGTGAAGTTGAAGCCTACTTGTCTGCCTTGAAACAGCCAATTAGATCAGTGACATTCACTCTTGATGAGAATAGAAATTCATCGCGAAGAGGCGTCAAAATATCAAGTCGATCATTTACAATAAATGTAAACCTAAAGAATCCCTGCCGACATTTAATTTTTTTTGACTCTGGCAGTGGTGTTTGATAATGAGCAAAGTTTTTTGAATCTTTATTATTTCCGGCAATGATAATTGTTTTAAAAGATTTTCCATATACTATAAGATGTGTGACGATATTTTTTAAAGTAATCATCTGGAAGTTACGCACCTCAAAATCCTACATCTGCTTGTTTTCGTTATAACTACCCGGTTGAAGATTAAAAAAGAGTTTTTCTTATGAACAGGTGTGTACGTTGTGTTACCTATCGAGAAAAATGAAGGCTCTTTATTTTCTTTTGACACTTTTTCATCAAGGGCTCAGTGAGGGATTATTTCCTCTTTCCTTCCTTCCTTCCTTTTATCTTCTTTTCTTCCTTCCTTCCTTCCTTCCTTTTATCGTCTTTTCTTTCTTGCTTCCTTCATTTATTCGTTTGTTCCTTCCCTTCCTTCTTTTCTTTATCCATCCTTTCATCCTTTTTTTATTAAAGTTGCTGACCAAGGGTAATGCATGAAGGACAAAGGGTAAATATTTCTATTCTTTATTTTACATCGTAGAATCTACTGTTTTGTTAGCTGAAGAACCGTAAAGTCTTACCCTTTACAAAACAGTAATGATAAAAAGGTAAATTATACACCGTGAAAAGATGAAAAAACTTAGTAAGCTTACTTTAGTAAGTTTTTTTATCTTTTCACGGTGTCAAATTTACCCTTTTATCATTACTGTTTCATTAGAAACACCGACGCAGCTCACACTAGTTTTTAGCTAGTTATATCTTCTCTTTACAAAACAGTTTAAACTCAKGACAGCTTTTGACTAAGATCAGTGGTCTTTGCCGTGGGAATTTCGTTGTTGCTTGTGTTGTGGCCGTTAATGTGATAGTGAAATTATTTTTAAATCGAGTTACTTTTACTTTTCTTGCTTTAGCAGTAAATGATCTTAGTTAACATTTGATCTCCACAACTTGCGCAACAACAACAATGCAGCAGTACGAATGTCTTCAATTCTCCAGCAATAGATTATCGGATTCAGTATACCATTTGACAACACAAGCATTTGCGAGATGATAAACCCAATTTGTATTCCGTAGGAATGGCCATCAACTACACTCAGCATGATATAGGAAACACCAAATGGAATATAACACAAGATACACTAGAAGCATGATCGTTACGGATTTCCTGAAACTTGTCATGTTCATGGGTTGTTGAGCAGACTGTTGAGATTGTATCTGCAATGAGTGTTTACGAATTACGAGACACACCCGGAAGATGAAATAGACGTCCATAAAGAGTAAAAATGCGAAGAAACAACAACTAGAAATAACGACAGCCATGTTGGAAAATATTGAAGAATAGATACCATTACAAGTACCAACCAACCAGATGAAACCAAGAACGATTGCAAGTGCAGGTGTACGGCCAGGAATCGATCAGCAGTGATGGCAGTCAGTGTTAGGAAAGATATTGCTGCAAGGGGTAATGTACTGAAGGTGTAGACTTTAGCAAGGGAACAATATAAATCAAGGTTACGACGAAGCTCGTAAAACCTGAATAAGCAAAACAAGGGCTGTGAAAAGATCCCAACACTCAGATCAGAGACGGCAAGACCAAGAATAAGAATAGTGGAGGGAGTTTGTAGAGAAGGTGTTCTTGAAATGGTGTAAATGACCACAGCATTACTGCAGCTGGCTACAACAGCCATAACAGCGTTGATAACGATCATGGAAAGTAAAAAGGTATCGAAATGATTATCGCGAGGAAGGTCAAGAAAGTATGGCAAACATCTGTGATTTTTGCTTTGGGTATCGTTGCTAATCATTCTAGTAAATACCAAAAGAGATTCACTTAGAGTTTTGAACCATATTTGATCACAAAATGCAGTGTTAGTCCAGATGTCTTTTGCTCGAAAACAACAGCACAGGTCTCTGCTTTAAATAGGCGGAACATTTGAAATTCTGGTCGTGATACAATGACAGCTGTATCATTATTGTCCTATTATGTTAAGCTCCCTAAATAGTGCAATAGTGTATGTGTGTTATTAGACTGCAAGCAGTCCCTATATTTCCCTTGTTCACTGTCCGTAGGTCACTTGCGCGGAGATTGTTATCGCCCAGTATGGTTACCCTTAACTCGAAAGTGGAGGTTCTGACATTTGAATAAATTAGTTCCAATTATTTCTGATGCATTTCAAACTAAAGCAAAATACATCTATTAAGAAGTTTGGCTGTCGCATCAAGCGTGGGACAATCACATGGAGCCAGACTTAAACTAGCTGACTGAGCCCAAGATCGAATAACAATTTAGAGCTTGTTGAGGGAGGAAAACCGGAGAAAAACCCTCGAAGCACAGGAGAGAACAAACAAACAACTCTACTCACATACGAACCTATTATTATTGTTCACCACAGTGAGAAAAGAGGCAAAGGAGTTAGAATGATTTCTTTTGGGTTTTTTTCATTTAATTTTTTTCGCAACAGGAAAAATTCTCTCCCTTTTTCTGCATAATTATAATTCGGCCATCTGTCTAACCTTATAGCCTCTTTCTCTTGAACAATGAAATGAACAATCAATGTCCCTTTTTCCCCTCAGGCTTACATCAATTTAACAAATAGACATCAGTTTTTTATGTGTCCGTCCTCTTATTGTAATTTTTCTGTTTAACATTACACACAAAACAGGAAATTATTAGTCAATAAGCCTTTTCATAGTTTAAGAATCGATTCCACTGCGCATGCGATTTTATCCYGAATTTCTCACCTTCTTTTGTTTAATTAAGAACAAAAGAAGGTTTAGACAAAAGAAGGTAGAAATTCGGGATAAAATCGCATGCGCAGTGGAATCGATTCTTAAACTATGAAAAGGCTTATTGAAACGAAGGACTTTAGTTATCGTTTTTTTAACTCTTAATGAACATTTAGAATGCATGTATTCTAGTACAGACGTTTCTAATTTTCAGCAATCTAATTTTCCATGTTGTTTATCAGAAATTAACACATTTTAGCTTGTCCGACGTAGCGATAGTAACTAGGGAGGTAGAACAACGAATGCAGGATCGGTGAATCAACTAGATTGTCAGTGTCTACAAATGCACACGAATATATATGAGATAGGGAGCAGCCCAAAAAAAATGGTTGTCGTCATTGAGAGTGGACAGCGGACAGCGGTATACCCATGCGCACCATGCCTTGGCTTGGGTGGAACGAATGTGTGCAAAGACAGAATAGGCTGTAATTTATACGATGCCCGCAAAAGATTGTGGGATATCTATTGTTATGTTAATTTAATATTTTATTTCCGGCACTGAGAATAGCGAGAGAGTAATTGCGAGACACTCCAACACCCTCCCCCTTGGATACACCCTTGTTCTATGTATTAAGACAATAAAACACTGAAAAGTAAAAAAACTTACGTCGTTGAGTCGATTGACTTCCTGGCTACTTTCCTTCACGTTGAGCGTATTGCTAGCGGCTTTAGATTCGATATCCTTCTTGATTGTTTGCAATTGGTTTTCTAGAGCTTCGCATTTCTTTTGAGCTTTGACACCATCTGGCCCAGTGATGGCAACGATTCTCCTAATACCTTTTGATATGGCTTCCTCAGTAACTAGTACGAATGATTTCATATGGCTGGTTCGTTGAAGATGGCTGCAAAGAGAAAGTTAAGGAAATTTGGCGGTTGTTTCAGGGCGGAATAATCGCAAAACTGCAATTCATAGTTCCGATTCCCCTTAGTGTTACCGTTGCTATGTCCCACAAGCCCAACAAATTAGGGAAAGGTCATTATTTACAGGGAAGGCGGAGGGCTGGTGGAAATGAGAAATGTGATGCTCAATTTTTTTTAGTCCCCCCCTTCATAGAGAACTCAAAATTTTCCCCTCCCAATAAAAAAATAATTGACTAATAAGTGTCTAACAAAAAAGGTTACGAGTATCTATTACACATTTTTTAGTCCCCCCTTTTTAGCGCACAAAAATGTAAATAATGACCGATACCTTAGTTTGAACATCTAGGAATTTCAAATTTTGATTGCGGATAAAATGGACCCTAAATTGTTTTAAATTGTTTAATCTCCCGTGAAAATGAGAAAATTGCCTCATAATCCTTGAAGTACTCCATAACAGATACTAACGTAGTTGTTTATGGGACAAGGTTCTATATCCACTGGGGAAATTGAGGCAACGGTGAATGGTTCGCTATTGTCTGGGTCGGAACAATTGATAAAAGATACTTCCACAGGGTAGACAAGGATTAAGGATTTGCCGAAAGAAAAAAAGAAAGGAAAAAAAAGAAAAAAATCAGGCGCCCGATAAGGGACTTGAACCCTTGACCCTCAGATTAAAAGTCTGATGCTCTACCGACTGAGCTAACCGGGCAACTCTTGTTTTTTACGAGGGTTTCCAATCACTTTATTTTATCTTGAAACTCAGTAGATATTTAGCAAGATATTTACATCTCTCACAAACAACTATATCTACATATAAAAGACCAAAAGAAAACACTAAAGCATCAAATATTATGCTGAAAAAAATTGGATGGACTGCGTACAGAAGATAACAGAGAGATATTTCTAAGTGTTAGTAMTGAAAAAGATGAGGTAAAGAAAAAACATGATTTTTTCAGTCACGAAATTATTGCCAATATTCCTAGACATTACCACTGAAGTGGAAAAAGAAATTGGCCGCCCGATAAGGGACTTGAACCCTTGACCCTCAGATTAAAAGTCTGATGCTCTACCAACTGAGCTAACCGGGCAACTCTTATGATAAATGGGCGTCACAATAGTTTTTATCAGAATGTTAAGAAAACTCCTTGTATCTAATCTATTATTCATCTTCTATGCACAGCCTCAGAAATACAAACACTTTGAAATTTAATGGACCTTCGCGGGAACACATGAATATTGTACACTAGGTTAAAGCTTACCCTGAGCAACAGAGAACTCGAAAATGGAAAAGCGAAAGAATATTATCAGTAGAAAATTATAAATTTTTAATGATGACACGGGTGATATTGTGATATTTAAAAATGGCTTTGAAGGAGGAATCCGTCATGATATACTTGTGATGTGAGTTACTACTGGTATAACCGTTTGGTGATGAACAGCTAATTAAGGCTCGAACACTCTAATAACTATAACGTATAGTCGGTGCAACATTGCTGGCAACATAGATCTTAATTAAGTGATGCAACAAATTGAGAAAAGCAACTCTAACATTGCAGAATTCCGTTCAGCGGTATGAAGGGAAGTAGCATTTYATTGGCTGAGAACATGACGTCATTGCCAGTTACGTTACTACGGTATGGAGTGAAGTCGCATTTCATTGGCTGAGAACATTGCCAGTTACGTTACACGTTGTGTTCAAACGAGGAAACTAGTTGCGCACAAGATTGAAGAAGTGGATTTCGATTGTATAGACCCCTTGCAGGATATTCCCCATGTAGCCCCATTCAAGAGGACAAAATAGAATCTTATTCTCCTGAGAACTAAAATTCATTGTTCTGTTCTCTGAGTTGAATGGCTCTGGGAATTGCCGAAACTTGTCTATTTCTACAGTGTTGGTTGCGCGCAAACGATGCAGAGATAGACACACGACGATGCAATTTTGTTGTTGTGTGCAACTTGGCGCGTAAAAGTTCATCGTCTGCTAAGGTTTTTAAATTTCAAAGAATTATCGTACAAGTGAACAAAAAGCAGGAAAGACTTATCATAGAAATTCCTTACGCTACCGGGGCAATGTACCACATGGAAGTTTTAATTCTTAATCATTATAATTGCCAAATACCAAGCAAATCAAGGCACATATAGCAACCGTAAGCAAGCGCAACATCTGCAAACCTCTTAATAGTAAACTCAAACAAAACTTACGTTCCACCGCAGAATTCCACTGAATACTTGTATCCTGCCTGAGGATTGTTGGCCAGGTCCTCGAATGGAGAACCAACAGAAATTACTCGCACAGGATCGGGGTAAACCTGATATAACAACAAAAAAAAGATATATCAAAATTAGATATGAAACTAAGACAAAAATTCGCACTATATATATATATATATATGCATATATGTGTGCACGAAAAAAGAAACAAAAACAAACAACGCAAAGAAAAAAAAAACCACAACAACTTGTCATTGCTAATCACCACCGCAAAGTACAGCAGTGGCGCAGCTTAACGGGGTCGAACTGAAAGCATGTGAAAACGCCTCTGGCATCCGGGAAATTCAAGTTAATGCGCCCCTTTTTTATTAGGGTGTATTGCGTAAGAATCATCTCTTTATAAGCTTAGACGAGAATGATCCCACCTACTATCTATATATGCATTATCACTGCTCCTAGTTAAGGTGGCTTGACCCTTGTTTTTTAGGCTTGAGGTGTTTCTTTTGAAATTACGATTTCGCAGTTAAGAATGYTTCGATTGCGTTGATACTTTATCCAGTTCGTAGTGTTGGCCCAAAGTTTCGTTTGGTAGTGGTTTTCTGGCAATACGTGTTACCATAGCGACTTTGTTTTAAACTTTGCCCCTTTTTTTAAATCTACTGACTCCGCAAAATATCATGTAGATCAACTTGTGGGCGAAGTTTGAAAACTCCCAATAAGATGGATTCGTAGTAATTCAAGAATCAATTTTTATAACACGATTTTCCTCAGTCACGAAATTATTGACAACATTTCAAAACATTATCACTGAAGTGAAGAAAAAAAAWATCAGCCGCCCGATAAGGGACTTGAACCCTTGACCCTCAGATTAAAAGTCTGATGCTCTACCGACTGAGCTAACCGGGCAACTMATAAATTTSCYATCTTGCATTTTTGTATTTGGACTTCCATGATACAACGCGTTCTGYAACCGGAGCTGTTTTAAGGGGACACKTTATTACTYATATGGCGTATTTTTAGCTCGCTGATAGCGAAACGTGAAAGAAAAGTGATAGGAAACCTTAATTATTGAGTTATCTATCTACATCTATTTAAAAAACGTTGTCGGTTGGATCTGAAATCTGAYCTGAGACCGAAATGAATTATGGGCTGTAAATTGTGCATTGTTTTGTCCTTTTAATAGGCCATTTGAAGGAAATAATCACATGACTATTACTGGATGACAAATAAAATTGGACTTCCTTTATTTAAATAATTTTTGCTGGATTACTTATGACATATCCAAAACAATTTATCAAGATACGAAGCATTTTAACGTTTGTTTGCCATTCAGCAGAGCCTTCCCCAAGGGACCTTTGGCTGAATTGATTCGTTATCAAAGTGATATATCAACACGTGACTGTTTGACACAAATGGCCTATTAGTTGTTTGCAACAAGTTAGTATCTAACTATGCCAACTTTGAGCGATGATATGCACTGGCGAATCTCTGGCTGAGTGTATTATGAACTTTTGAATTTCAGTGTCCCTCAATTGCACTCGGTCTCAGATTTCGGATTTCAGATCGCCAACTGACATTGTTTTTTTTTGAAAAAGGTATAAACTATCCATACCTCATCAAATATAGCTCGAAGTCCAGCTATATTTTTGGCATGAGCGAGCGSTACTTCCTTGGCATACACAGGTAAGTCCTGAATGACCAGCTCTTGMSCAAGAAGCTCTGTTTCCTTGATCTGGTCGACTGTCATGGCAGACTGGAAAAACAAAACGATGAACTTCAGTGTTTTAACTGTCTTTAAGCCCTGAACTAATAACAACTGGCTACTTTCGTATAGCTTTAGACCTCCTCGGCTCGGGCACGCTCATGCGTYATGTTTTCCCATTTCAGACCACGTGTCATCACGTGGAATCTTATTCTCAAGGGAATGACACGTGGTCTGAAATGGGAAAACATGCATGAGGCGAGGAGGCCTATACCGCTCATTTTCAAATGCTGAATTTTGCGCATTTCAGGGAGAGAAACTGGGRGAGGGGTGGGAGAGGAAAGACCTAACGCTTGAATCYYTTMCCAMSAGAATGAARGGACAAAAGAGGARRMTGTCATGTTGGTTGGTATAACAAAAGAAATCTAGACCAAATCCTTTGTCAACCGAATAGAGAGGCCGATGAATGTCATGTGTCTCTACCCTCTCGTAAATATTGACCCAATTACTTTGGTATGCAATGTAATGCTTCTATAACAGTCCACGTATCATTCCCTTGATTGTTATTTTCTTATTWGCCTGTAACACACGAGAAGATACATAAGGATGCAGGGTCTCGTAAAAAGTATTTTTCCAAGTGGTTTGAAATGGAAAAACCGATTGAGCTCAAAGTGAAGATGCATGATCTACCATGTAGGTTTGAGCTCACTTGAATGTTTTAGCCCTTGAGAATTTTATGAATTCAATGAATACCATCAACACCGTTCTGTGAAGTTCGTCCTAAGGAGTAAATGCACCTAGTGTTCAAGCGCGCAAATGTAAGGGAACCAATATACGAATGCGAATTACAGCTAGTAAACATAAAACCTATTTTAGCCTTCTCCTCGCAATTGCAATTTAAGAACSTGCAAAAAAATCTGTTTCGTAATAATGTTGTTCACGCGTAATTTGCTTGGGAATCTAACTACTTCTAAAAAACGAATATCTTACGATTATCACAGTCCCAGTAAGGTGTTCTTTCGAGAGGTTTGCTCCTTGCACTACCACTACATCCACTGATTTACAACACACAACACGCAACTCACATGTGGTTTATGAAAGGAGGAAWACCAGGGAAGCCGGAGAAAAACCACAACTAAAGGCTCGAGTTACCTTGCAAGTGAAATCAAATCGTAGTTTGTCAGGAGCAACCAAAGATCCTCGCTGGTCAGTATCTTGTCCTAAGCTTCTTCGTAGGGCAAAGTTCAATATGTGGGTAGCTGTGTGGTTGTTCATGCAAAGGCGGCGACGTTCCTGAATAACATAAAACAAAAATTAATAAAGACCCGGGAAAAGGTGGGGGGGATACTCTTTCCAGAGTAAAATCGCTGAAATTCATACCCTGTTTCCAGTGTAGAATCGCTGAATACCATCCGTGTTTGGTGGCACGAACCGCATAGCAGATATAGGGGAATACAGGAAATGATGTCWAAGTCTATTCATCCAATGAAAATACTTTGACACCGTATTGTCCTATCACGGTCATGGTCACGGCACTTGTTTTTTTTTGTGTGCAACTATTTCCCCCTGRTTTCTAAGAATGAAACAAGACACCTACCTCATCCACAATACACTTCATGGCGTCACCAACTCGAAGCGTTCCTTCTAGTGCACCCACATGTAACACATAGCCACCATGAACTTGAACATCAAACACTTTTAATTCAACTTCCTGAAACAGAAGACACATGGAAA